GAGGAGGGAGGTGGCAGCCGTTTCAAACAGTCTGTATGTTGTATTGGGAGGAGGGAGGTGGCATAAGTTTGGAATAGTCTGTATGTTGTATTAGGAAAGAGGGAGGTGGTAGAAGTTTGGAACAGCCTATATGTTGTATTGGGAGGAGGGAGGTGGCAGCCGTTTCAAACAGTCTGTATGTTGTATTGGGAGGAGGGAGGTGGCATAAGTTTGGAACAGTCTGTATGTTGTATTGGGAGGAGGGATGTCATTATTGCTTCAAAAATATTTTAGTTTCAAAGATATTCTTTGCTCAATATAAATTATAAACGTGGGACTATGTGTGACAAACAATATAACAAATGAGTAGAATCACAACACTGGGTGTGCAAGGCTTAGTAGTACAGTACCATTGAGTTAACCAAATTGTCATACATATCTTAGGTGTGTGCAATGATATATACTCGCAATCCATGTTATGTCAACACTACTACTGGTAACACTCGAGCGGAGTGCAACGACTGGTTGGTGTAGTCACCAATAATGGTTACAGCATGTGTAAAAGAATAGTATTATGATGTTTATAATAGTGTAAACATTTTTGCATTTTCATTTTAAAAAACTGACGTTATACGCCAGCTGGGCACAGGGCTGGACATGTTTGGTCTGAGGTTTGGTGTAAAGTTACAAAAAAAAAGTGTGAGTTTATAAATTATGCTTATGCTTAACTTGGTCTTGCATATACTGTGGAATACTTTATTTTTGCTGGAATAAATTTTCGCTGAAAAGGCTTTTTAGCCGTTTTGTGTTGAATTTATTTTCACTGATTTTTGATGACTTTAATGCGAAATATAGGAAAAAAAGTATATTCGCTGAATTTTATTTTTACGGAATCATCCCTTCAACGAAAATAGCGAAAATAAATTCCAAGCGAAAATAAAGTATTCTACAGTACTGTCTACTAAGCCCTATATGAATTTACTATATTAGCTGCAGGTAATGTAGGCGCAACTAACCCAATAACCTTCGAGTTCGAACACTACTTTTCACAATTGTAAACATTGCGCATTGCTTGATATAATATGAGAACAAAAACAATCGTAATATTATACAAAAACAATCGTAATATTATTATTACATTACATTCACTGGTATCGTCATTGGTCACTACGTCAAGTGGTCGTTTTGCTTTGCTCAGGTTTTACTGGCAGTAATTCAATTTTCAGCACTCCGTCATTTTACGTTTCCAGATTGTGGAACTGCATATCTGATAAATGTATAATCCCATGTCAATTTCACTTGGCAGACATCAGCAGGTACAAGAAACACTGCGATAAAGACTTTGCATTTTCGACATTGTGAAATTCTTTCCTTTTTATGCAAAAAATCATATCAAGTAAAATCATATTTATTAAAGTTATTGTTCATACATGAGTTGTTGAATACACTACATAGTTTTTAATATTATTAAGCTTCTTTCATAAGTATCCTTTTTCTGTAATATTCTTGTGTACCGATAATCCGATATTATCAAAATTATTTATGGGTGCATAGGGAATACACTTCGTTATGAATTATTCTTTATATAAATTTCTGAATTATCTTGTCAAAATTAGTTTTTTCTCCCAAAAAAGGAAAAAATTTCACAATGTCAAAAATAGAAATCTTTATTGTAGCGTTCAGAGTAGGATTAATACTGTTTCTGCTCATGTCAACCTAAAAGAAAATATCATGAGATACATGTATACTGCGGATATATACAAATATGTAAATGAATATTAGAAGAATAATTAATTAATTAATTAATTAATTAATTAAAAATATAATGATGTCTTGTTGATATTTATATAATTCTGAAATTAATATGATACTGGAATTAATTTTGGATGAAAACACAGTTTGGCTGTTTTGTATGAATTTAATTTTTACTGAATGTTTGATGAGTTGATTGTGAAGTATAGGGTTATATTTTCACTGATTCATTGTTTGAGTACAGATAGAAAAATAAAATCTGAGTAAAAATAAAATATTTTACTGTAATTAATTTACTGTTCATGTCTATATTAGAACAATGATAGTCACAAGTTTTATTATTAATTGGATATTGTGGAAGTTGCTAATATAAATATCTTACACTCTCTGTATATTTACCTTAATGTTTCCTTACCCATATGGCCATCTTACTTCTTCATTGGCTTTCCTGCCTATATTCTTTTGCTGTACCAGTATTATGCAATTTTAACCAAAGATCCAGGTATATGTCGTATACCAAGGAGAGGACCCGGAAAAGAGTCTCCATTCATGACAATAGAACACATTGCAACTAAGGAATTGGAAACTGAAAAATACTGTATATTTTGTGAGGTATATATGTTTATTTTTTGGGTCTAGCGCCATCTTACATTAAGCACATAAATTATTTTGTTTTTATTAGATTTTTCTGCAGTTTAGTGGTTAGGGTATTGGTTAATATTTATATGTTTCCATGGTGACTGTAGGCAACATTTGTATTGTTCGTTTAATAGATTGAGTTGATATAATATTTAATTTATGCTTTGTCTTAATCAAAATGTGAAAAAAACGTCTCATTTTAAAGCTCTGATTAGATTGTGATGTTATTGTTGGAGAGGTTAATGAACTTCAAATGTGTTTTTTATTTTGTAATTGGATGGCGGCTAATACTATGCATCCAAACTTATATATCAATGCATGTATTTTTTCACAGATGTCTTTACCCGACCGCACCCGACATTGTAAGCTATGTGAGAACTGCATGGTTGAAATGGATCACCATTGTCTTTTCCTATTAAGATGTGTAGCTGCTAACACTCATCGGCTCTTTGTGTGTTTCATCATCGTCGTCATGTCGGTACAGATTACGTTTCTCTTTTCGGCTGTGAAGTATATGCAAGTGAGTTATGAGGATATGCCGCTTTGGGATATACCGAGCACGGCTTTTTCTGAGCAGGTCTGGCTGTTCACTGTCTGCTTGGTAAATATTGCTTCCATTGTCTGGGGGACGTTTCTTCTGAGAAGTCAGTTGGAGGTGATATCTACGGGACATACCACTGTTATTCGCTCACAGATGAATGCTACTAAGCTCTTGACTTTTCTTGATAAATTAAACAATGTGTGCAATTTTTTCAGAGGGTTAAAAACATTGACGCCAGAAGAAATTTGTGAAATGAAAGCAACGTCTTTGTTTGAGAACGTTCATCCTCTTTAGAAAATGTTCGGACATCTGGAGAGCCCCCAAGTGTCAAGTGCCATATCTTTAGTACAACAGAGAGGAGAGTACACAAACAAACACATTATTTCTGAACAACCAGGAAGTCTGGTTTCATAAAGTAATTTGTTTAAATTTAAAAACAAAATTCAGTGGAAAAATTACTGCAACATGTTACTCCGGTGATTAAGTTAGAATGCCATAGTTACAATGTATGAAACCATACTATGGTATCACATAGAACCCATGTCAAACACACTGTGGTGTGGTATCACATAGAACCCATGTCAAACACACTGTGGTGTGGTATCACATAGAACTCATGTCAAACACACTGTGGTGTGGTATCACATAGAACCCATGTCAAACACACTGTGGTGTGGTATCACATAGAACCCATGTCAAACACACTGTGGTGTGGTATCACATAGAACCCATGTCAAACACACTGTGGTGTGGTATCACATAGAACCCATGTCAAACACACTGTGGTGTGGTATCACATAGAACCCATGTCAAACACTGTGGTGTGGTATCACATAGAACCCATGTCAAACACTGTGGTGTGGTATCACATAGAACCCATGTCAAATACACTGTGGTATGGTATCACATAGAACCCATGTCAAACACTGTGGTGTGGTATCACATAGAATCCATGTCAAACACACTGTGGTGTGGTATCACATAGAACCCATGTCAAACACTGTGGTGTGGTATCACATAGAACCCATGTCAAACACACTGTGGTGTGGTATCACATAGAACCCATGTCAAACACACTATGATGTGGTATCACATAGAACCCATATCAAACATACTGTGTTGTGGTATCACATAGAAACCATGTCAAACACACTGTGGTGTGGTATCACATAGAACCCATATCAAACATACTGTGTTGTGGTATCACATAGAAACCATGTCAAACACACTGTGTTGTGGTATCACATAGAACCTATGTCAAACACACTGTGGTATGGTATCACATAGAACCCATATCAAACACACTGTGATGTGGTATCACATAGAACCCATGTCAAACACACTGTGGTGTGGTATCACATAGAACCCATGTCAAACACACTGTGGTGTGGTATCACATAGAACCCATGTCAAACACACTGTGGTGTGGTATCACATAGAACCTAATTATTATTAGATAATTATAATCTCTCAAAAAATCAGATTCAAATTGAACTTGTGGTAAAGGTGCTCTTGATGAAATCTGACTAGAAACCACATATGTACAATCAAATTTATTTTCTGTAATTATTATAAACCTCAATAATATGGATCACATTGTTTATACACATTGTGCATTTCAAATAGCAGACATATATTAATCACCAAGCGTCTTATTTGAAAGCCGAATCTTAAATTTTGAATTAATTTGAATATGCTTCCAATACTCTTAGCACACAGGAGTTCTTTCTAAAATTCTTTGATTATATTTATCATTGTATACCAATAATTTGTTTGGATGACTGCGTTTTATATGAGTGTAAGATAATTGGTGTTGAGTATATGAATCTGCATGGAAACAGGATCTAGTGTTTATGAACAAAAAAACTATACTCCTCCAATTTTTTTTTTAACTACTTAGTATGTATACATTGTGTCATAGGAAATATAATTTTTCATGCCATCCCATTTTGTGTTTGAAAAAATATAAAATCCGAAGTTTTCCATGAAATTTTGTTTTCCAAGAAAATCAAATCAGTTACATTACCAATTATAGTTATACACTAGCTACTTTTCTAGAATTCCCAATATCATTACCACCCGTTATTACCGCAGTTTATTGAGCGACTGGGATTGATTGCCATGTTTTCATGTATCCCAACATTCAAAGGACATGTAGATATCACTGTTCATCTGATTTAAATTGATTTTGATAAATTATTTATTTAAATTATTTAATTGTCATTTCCTCATTGATTTACTTCCAGTATTAAGGAGTTTGCTGACATGCAGATTGAAGGAACTAGTTTTTGTTTTGTTTTCAATAACATGTTCATTGTTAAACTTCACTTTGCGATCATTTATAAAGCTTTATTGACGTTTTGTTACTTTGTGAAGTATTTGATTGTCTGAGAATAGAAATTATGTGCATTCAATTTTCAATAATTTTCATCACATCTGAATACTGCAGATCAGTTCAGCTTTCCACTTATCACAAATTTGAATTTTAATAAAGTATGAACGATTTCAGAGTGCTACTCTCAAGATACCTTATGGACAAGGAGTATTATCATCATATTTATATTTCCAGCAGTTACAATTATCTGAAAATAACTACTACCAGGCATAGTATTACCCACCTCCCCAGTTTAGCTGTTATGATACTACTATAGCTTTCTGACTCTGACAAATTGGAGAACTGATGTTTTATGAAATTCCCAGAGGCCATCTGATGCCCTCTAGAGGGTGCTATTGTATAGGGACCTACAAATCCATAGCCTGAGGAGGATTTGAGTCGGCGATATAAAATCCTTAATTTGTATCATTCATCTTAAACAAATGTATATGTTATGGTGAAATAAAAAACGACAAGACTAGCAGCCTTTGGTTGCAGTATTTTAAAAATTATTGAGTCTTATTGAATTTGATGTATGTCGTTAAGTTTTCATTTTTTTTTAGCTCCGCTGTCGACTTTGTCGAGCGGAGCTTATCATATGAGTGATTGTCCGTCGTCGTCCGTGTCAATGTTTTACTTTTTCGACTTCTTCTTGAAAACTACAAGCCTGAATGTTTTGATACTTGGTGTATATGTACCTTGGATAGACCTCTCTCAGATTTGTTCATTTCATGATCATATCTTCAATTCTCTAATTTTGGTGAATATTTTTGTCACTTTTGGTAAAAAGTGATATTTTTGACTTCTTGTTAAAAACCGCAAGTCCAATTGCTTTGATATTACATATGTAGGTACTACATGTGGATCTCTCTCAGATTTGTTCATTTTGTAATGATATCTTTAGTTCTCTAATTTTGGTGAATATTTTTGTCATTTTTGGTAAAAAGTGATATTTTCGACTTCTTGTTAAAAACCACAAGTCCAATTGCTTTGATATTACATATATAGGTACTACATGTGGACCACTCTCAAATTTGTTCATTTTGTAATGATATAGTCAATTCTCTAATTTTGGTGAATATTTTTGGTAAAAAGTGATATTTTTGACTTCTTGTTAAAAACCGCAAGTCCAATTGCTTTGATATTACATATATAGGTACTACATGTGGACCTCACTCTGATTTGTTCATTTTGTAATGATATCTTTAATTTTGGTGAATATTTTTGTCATTTTTGGTAAAAAGTAATATTTTCGACTTCTTGTTAAAAACCACAATCATTTATGGTGAAAAATGATATTTTTGTTGAAAACAGCAAGTCCCGTTGCTTTGATACTATGCATATTGTTCATTTTTTTCTAATGATATCTTCTGTTCTATAATTGAGATGTGCATTGCAAACAGTGGAGCTATCTCAGCCGAGAGGCTGCTTGTTTTATCCAGTATCATTATCCGAAAAAATGGACGTTTTCGAACAATTTCCACATAAATTCTTTTTATAGTATTATTTCATAAAAAGAAAAAAATAACTAGTACAAATCAGAATTAACTGATATTTCTTGATGGTCACAAGTTATCATCGTATAACTGCTTATAATTTTTATACCACATGTAACAAAACAAAATTAGGAGATGACCCAAAACTTTTCTTTGATGTACTGTACTTAGGTGACAATATATTTTTTCTCAAAGCAATTTGATTTTCTCAAGTTTTGTCAAAGAAATCTGTTTTAGTATTAGCCAACTACAATATTTTGAATATAGTGCCCTCAATGTTGGAGACAAATATACCCAGAGTGAGTTCAGTGATGAATCAATTG